AAAAAAAAAGCTACTCAAGTCTCCAAATATTCTTTTTTTTAGAAGATTTTATTTTTATTATTTGAGAGAGAGAGAGTGAGTGAGCTAGAGAGAGAGCACAAACAGGGGGAGAGGCAGAGGGAGAAGCAGACTCCCCACTGAGCAGAGCGCCCTACCCAGGACTCGATCCCAGGACCCTGGGGATCATGACCTGAGCCGAAGGCAGACGCTTAACTGACTGAGCCACCCAGGCACCCTCAAGTCTCCAAATGTTCTATAGTCAAATACTTGAACTTACGATAAAAGCATAATTCTATACATGTGAATCTATCAGCTGTCATTTAATCAGATAATTGAATCTCACCTGGTGTGGTGGTTAATTTGTCAACCTGACTGGGCCACAAGGAGCCCAGACACTTGGTCAAACGTTATTCTGGGTGTGTCTGTGAGGGTGTTTGTGGGTGAGTCACATTTTGATTCAGTAGACTGAGTAAAGCACATTGCCCCCCCATGTGTGTGGCCTCATCTAATCAGATGATGAAAAAAAGAACAAAAAGGCTGATCCCACGAGTGAGAGGGAAGTCTTCCTTGCCTGACCACCTTCGAGATGGGACACCAATTTTCTCCTGCCTTTGGCCTCAGATGGAAACATGGGCTATTCTTGGGTCTCAAACCTGCGGTTTTCAGTCTAGAACTATATACTATCAGCTTTCCTCGTTCTCAGCTCTTCTGATTCCAACTGGAACTACACCATCAGTTATCCCAGTTCTCAGCTTGCCGACTGCAGATCTTGTGACTTCTCAGCCTCCATAATCATGTGAGCCAGTGCTTTATAATAAATCTCTTTATATGTATATAAGATATCTATTTCTATAAAATAAAAGAGCCAAAGAAAATCTGATTTTGTCAAGTTCAGCCATGAAGTATCACAAAGGTTCCCATAAAAATAATACTTTTAAAGTTAATGTACCGGAGATGTGACCGCTGAAGGAAATTGTATGCGATAAATGTAAAATATATGTGAATGCATCTTGCATATCATTATTACTCCATAGCCGTGTGTTAGACATTGAATTTTGTTTTTCTTTGTTTTCCTTTTTAAAAGAAAGATTCTCCCATGAGCAATAACGGCTTCCATGATAAATAACCAAATGACAGCTGAAAACTTTGTGCCACGATTAAGGGAGCGACAGGGTAAGGAAAGGAAGAAGCAGAGGTGGTAAGCGGTCAGTGTGATTCTTACTCTCAGAACTCATTGCCCACCTCCCCTCCCTTCTTCAGGAGTTAGCGCTCTCTCATGGTTTGGGGCTGCAAAAGGCTACCAGAGTGACCATTTCACAATTTTGATGAGCCAATTCACTCCAAAAACTGGTTTGCCTAGTTGGTTGGTTTGGTTTTTACTCTGAAATGGTTATTTTAAAATTTTAATTTTTTTAAATTTAATTAAATATGCATTTGAGTATAAAAACTGTGTGTGTGTGTGTGTGTGTGTGTTTGTGTTGGGCAAAGTGTTGGTAGAAGCTTAAGAAGGGGACTATTCCAATTTCTATACTGAGCTGCCCCAGAGATGGGGGGGGATTCTTAACCAGAGTGCAGTTCAGGTGTGAAGCCCTGTGGAGGCTTAACCACAATGAAGAAGCCATAAAGAGTCTAGAAGACTTTGTTAATTCTCCAAGCCAAAAATGCATTGTTTTCTCCCAAATGCACTTAGTATTTATTAGGAACCTACTTTGTGTTTGCCATTATACAGGGTCACTTCAATTCTTTGCCTTCAAATAAATTGACATTTATTCTCATAAACCTATCAAGTGATTTCTTTTTTCTAACTCTGTCTATACTGCATTTCTAACCTCAGTGTCCAGGAATACGGACTTTAAAAATTCTTTGTGCATAGCCAATATTATTTCATCACATAGCCCAGTTGCTATGCTTCTTTTAATGTTCAAAAAATATATAACATCTTCAGCTTTTATTTCTTCATAAATACTTAACCCTCAAAGGTTAAAAATGATAAGGCTTTCCTTATTTCTTCTTAATTCTTACCCCTTGATTCTTGAGGAAAATGTATGTAAAGGCTATTGCTCACAGAGGGTTTTTTTAAAAATGTCTTATTTCCTAGAGCCCACTAATATTTCATAAGATTTGTTCATTTTATTCGCCTTTGGGTACTAAACTATGAACATATCTAACTTTTATTATTTATTTATTTATTTATTTATTTTAAAGATTTTATTTATTTATTTGACAGAGACACAGCGAGAGAGGGAACACAAGCAGGGGGAGTGGGAGAGAGAGAAGCAGGCTTCCCGTGGAGCAGGGAGCCCGATGAGGACCCTGGGATCATGACCTGAGCTGAAGGCAGATGCTTAACGACTGAGCCACCCAGGTGCCCCTGAACATATCTAACTTTTAAAAACTATTTAAAAAAACTTATATTTCACTGCTTTTAGTTAGAATGACTGTGTTTCTGAAAGTTCTCACAATGCTAAAAAATAACAAATCAAGCCACTGAATATCCAGATAATTTCACTGAACTGTATTAAAAGGAATAGAGAAGAAAAAATAAAAAGAAATAAAGAAAAAATCATACGATTTCTTTACTATTGTATAAAACAAAAGCTCCTCTAAGTAGGCAAATGTTCATAAGAAGTTCATTTAAACCAGAAAATGGTAAGGATTCCAATTTGGGTCTTCGTTATTTAATTTGCTTTGGTGGAAAGGCGATTTTCCTCCCTATTGTCTTTGTGACCACGTCTCAGTAACCAGAGACTATTGGACCAATCAATATGGTGGAAACACCAAGTCACCTGTGAACTGATCTCAGTCATTTAGACTGTAAACTCCAAGAGGGAGGGATTATGCCTTGTTCATCTTGCCTGTCCTTTATGACCTGCATGGTGGAATGCTTATAAGAGATGCCCAATATAGGTTTCTGTACCATAATGAAAAGTCTTATTACCTTCTGTTTCTATAATAGCTTATACCACCTGGTAGACATATATTGGGGTGCTTACCAACGATAAAGGGAAAAAAGAGAGAGAGAAGAGGGGGAAAAAAGAGACAGGGTGGGGGCAGATCACTCAGATGAACTATATCCCTTGTTTCTGACTCTGAGTTCCCCACCTGGGCTGGGTCAGATGCTCGGCCTCCCAACAGAGGGTAAGACCCCAGAAAGGCTATCATTCCTTGACCGGAGAGATGTGTGCTCATGCACAGAGCCTGGGTAGCAACAGAACAGCAGTATATGACGCGATATGCCTCTGATAGAATCAGCGGCCTCATGTAGGTACTAAAGCCAGCAGTAACAAGGCTCCCCGGATGCAGCCATCAATTGAAGGAGCTGGAGAACAGTTCTTCCCCTTGGCGTATCCAAATCCTCTGAAAGAGAGAATCCATGATGGGTGGATGGTTTCTTCTTGCTTCCTGCAGGTTGTTTCGTTGCTATCTGATGTTGGGAGAAGAATTCAACGGATGAAAATGGACTGTTCACTCTTATTTATACAGCATTTTCCCCTCCGGTGAGAAGAAAACTGCTACTCGCATCCAAACATATCTCATTCCAATAGGGAGTTTATAGCATTTGCTTCCTACCAAAGCAAAACCCTCAATACACGTGAAGTCTGAGATCTTGCCAATTTAATGGATCCCTAATAATTTTTAAATAGCATATATTATTTTAATGCTCTACACAGTTGGAAGGCTACTGAGGGCTAAATTGGCAGAGTCTCTATTTTCTTTTGAAAAACGAATTCGTAAAAATGAAGTGTTCTACATTATTTCATATCATTATTTCGGCAATTTTATTTTTACAGCAAAGCTCTGAGTCTATTATATTGTCTGAATTCTAAAAAGATTCAACTGATTACAGAAAATTTTATTTAAAAATTTGCTTTGCCATTTTTTTCCCTCTGGCTAATTCTTGAGTTTTGTTATACTTACTATTTAAAGGACCTAATTTATTTTTCATGGCCCATCACCAGTATCCAAGATAATATCCAATTTCTTAATTCTGAACTCTGCCTTGAGTGACTTCCAAGATAAATGAAATGAAAATACGTCAGGGCAGTCTTTGTTTATACACGGTGGCAAAATTAAGTTACATGGATCACTGCACGGGGGGCACTTGCTAGTTTCTAACTATGCATGCTGTCAGGCAGAAGGCTTCTACTACCTTCACTTCAGATAAAACAGGACTTTTTGAGCACCTCCTCTGAGCAAAACACAGTGCTGAAAATACAAAATTGGATCAGGCTCAGTCCCTGAATGGATGGTCTTCGCTGGAATAGGTTCTTTAACTGTGATGTCACTGTGCACCCACTGTGTCTGTAGAAGCAAGATGTTTCATTCTCTCACTGGGTTTCAAAACGTGGATGAGTTCACTTACAAGCCATTCTTTGTGTCATTAATGTGCTTGCCTCTCCATCATCAAGGTTTCATCCTGATGCCTGTCAATTGCAAAACGGGAGATTAACCACATGCTTCAAAAGACCGTCTGAATCACCATCTCCTCCTTCTGGATTGGGAGAAAATGTCTGTGGTAGAGAGACTAGGTGGCATAAGACAGTCGTCCCTGTCTGGTTGGAGCCATTTCTGAGAATGGCGCTCCTTGCAGAGCCAGGAGGTGCTTTTTGTTCATTTCCCGTACACATCACGTGTTGTCTAATACTCAGCCATGGCCTTGGCACACAGTAAACATCCAGTAAAAGTTTTCATCAGTGGATGAATAAATGGGTGGATTTTGTGGACCTATGTGGACTAAAATATGTAGGAAGCCAATGTTTGACTTAATACCCTAGACATCATTGTAACTGATATTTTTCAATAATTCCATTTTTGCAAAGCCTTGTTTCCATTTGGGTTCAATTACTTAGGGAAAAATCTCCTCACTTCCCACCCTCTTATAATTAAAAAGCATGTTCTGTTAAGACTCTTTCAAAATGTTTTCCTCCGCCAACTCCCAAAGCTTGCTGGTTTGGCTGACCCAGCGCAACTCAACATCCGTGGAATATAAGAACACACGTAGCTTTTAGGATTCAGGTGAAATGGAATTGGGAGCACATTAAGTTAGCCTCGAGATACTAAACCTCAGAGGACCATTTTAACATGAGTGTTTTAATACTGATAGTCAGCCCCAGCCAGGAGGCTATACAAGTCACAGACAAATGTCCAACTTATCATCTTTCCTAAATTGTTGGCAAAATTCTCCCAAAACAATCCAAGCCAAAAAATCTGGCCTTGGGTGACCAGCAATTTTTGTCAACAAATGCAGTCTTTCCCACTCTCCCCACATTCACATGAACCCAAATGGCAACAGCATGTCAAGAATTGACTGTGCATTTTCTTGCTGTCTCTTGGGTGGGTTCATTCACTTTGAATCTAGTGCATCGAGTAGTCACTTGGGTTAAATTCTGGTGACTCTGTTTACATAATATAGAAGATGTCTAGATTCTAGACCAATGCCAAAAAAACCTAGGCTTTTTTTTTTTTTTAAGATTTTATTTATTTGTCAGAGAGAGAGAGAGAGCTTAAGCAAGGGGAACGGCAGGCAGAGAGAGAAGCAGGCTTCCAGCTGAGCAGGGAGGCCGATGTGGGGTTTGATCCCAGGACCCCGGGATCATTACCCGAGCCGAAGGCCGACGCTTAACCAACTGAGCCATCCAGGCATCCCAAGACCTAGATTTTTTTTTTAAATTTTCATTGTTATGTTAATCCCCATACATTACATCATTAGTTTTTGATGTAGTGTTCCATGATTCATTGTTTTTGCATAACACCCAGTGCTCCATGCAGAACGTGCCCTCTTTAATACCCATCACGAGGCTAACCCATCCCCAACCCCCTCTAGAACGCTCAGTTTGTTTTTCAGAGTCCATCGTCTCTCATGATTCGTCTCCCCCTCCGATTTCCCCCCCTTCATTCTTCCCCTCCTGCTATCTTCTTCTTCTTTTTTTAATTTTTCTTAACATATATTGCATTATTTGTTTCAGAGGTACAGATCTGTGATTCAACAGTCTTGCACAGTTCACAGCGCTCACCATAGCACACACCCTCCCCAGTGTCTATCACCCAGCCACCCCATCCCTCCCACCCCACCCCCCACTCCAGCAACCCTCAGTTTGTTTCCTGAGATTAAGAATTCCTCATATCAGTGAGGCCAAGACCTAGATTTTTTAAAAAAATTTTTAGTACCATAGGAAAAATACCTTTTGTCAGTATTAACTAACATTCAAACAAGGGAGAATAGAGGAAATTAACATGATAAATTATAATTAAGAAAAATACATTTTCTTTAAAAAATATTGCTTTAATTCATTGTATATTCCAAGAGAAACATTTTGTTAATCCAAATGATCTGGAGAATTCCCAGCTTCCTACTTTTCATATATAGATACCACATCCCCTGTTGTAGTAATATTAGGTCTGAATTTGGACAAGGGGCAGAAGAACTCATAGCTGAACATTCAGAAACTAGGGAAACTAATTTACAGCCAAGTTTATTTTTTTTCCTGTGGCTATTCATGGGTAAGGTGGCTATATCAAGTTTTCTGAGTCAAATGGAATATTGGCATATTTTTCTTCAAATGAAGTAAATGAATGTAACATATACTTTATAATGTAAGTATAAAGTTTTACATTTTAAATCTATTGGAGTCTTCAAATTGATTTTCAGCTGAATAATCAACTACATTTTTTGTAGTTTGGGGTATTAACTCCATTGTTTTGTCAAATACTACAAGGCTGAATGCTAAAATTTCATTATTAGACCATCCACTTGTTTCAAGTACTTGAAAAAGAGACTGAATTAAGCATTTGGACTCTTTAAGTTTGTGTCAAATATTTGTCAGGCCTGAATTACTAGTTTTTCCATTCTTCCTAAGTGACTATCTTGTACCAAACCCAGCATTGCCTTCTGATTGGAGTCTTGGTCTCTTCTAACACCAACCAACACTGTGTTTGTTCCAAAGCTCTGTATAAGGTTCTAGTCCTCATTTTCCTGTCTGTGTTTCCCCACCTGGGAGGTCATGGAAAAATGTGGTCAACACTAAAGAAAGGACGTGGAGGTTTTCACTCTCTGTAGACTGAACGATTGTTTGTTGGGAATTGTTCACTTGGATTCCTATAAGAGGATGGAATGGAACATATCCCAGCTGACGCCATTCAAGGTTAGAAAATACATCATGGTTAACTTGACAAATGACTCCGAACCCAGCACTGCTGCTTGGGAATTTCCCCTTTGAGTACATTGCTTCGGACAAGTTCATGTACCAAATAAAAAAGAAACTTGTTCCATTCGACCACAAGTGTAAGCACTCCGAATTTTTACAAGATTTTTATCCTCCTTCTTTTCCTTCCTCTTCTTTTTTAGCCTGTCTTTCCCACCCCTCCCCCCTTTTTTAACTTCAGATTGGCCATTTTATCCTTAAATGTTGTTTAAATCAAGGGAAAATGGGCCTGGCTAGTGACAAGTTTCCCTGATTTCTAACTTTCCTCCCTGTTCAAAAGCAGGTTAGGGGAAAAAATGACACTCCTTTCACACATGGGAAGACAGATCATTTGCCCCACGCATAAAAAGGTAAGGTCAGGACGTGTGCATTGTGTATGCACAGACACACACACACACACACACACACATAAACTATGGTAAGATATAACATTTACCATTTCCATGTTCGTGAGTGTGAAGTTCAGTGACATTAAGAACATCCAGATTGTTGTGCAACCATCATCACCGTCCCTCTCCAGAACATTTTCTCCTTCCCAAACTGAAGCTCTGTGCCCATGAAACAAGAATTGCCCATTCTCTTCTCCCTCTAGCCCCTGGTAACCACTATTGGGCTTTTAGTCTCTATGAATTTCACTATGTAAGTACGTCATATAAATGGAATTGTACACTATTTGTCTTTTGTCTCTGGCGTATTTCATTCAGCATGTTTTCAAGGTTCATCCATGTCGTAGCATGTATCTGAATTCCGTTCCTTTCTAAAACTGAATAATATCCCAGTGTATATGCATATATTTTGCTCGTCCATCCCTCTGTGGATGGACAATGGGATGCAAGTACAGGATGAGCAGAACCTGTGAATCAAACACTCCAGGTAGTGGAGGGAGAACTTTCACACATGCCTTAGCTACTACAAGAGGATGATTACTTTTTTTTTTTTTTTTAAAGATTTTATTTATTTATTTGAGAGAGAGAGAATGAGAGACAGAGAGCATGAGAGGGAGGAGAGTCAGAGGGAGAAGCAGACTCCCTGCCGAGCAGGGAGCCCGATGTGGGACTCGATCCCGGGACTCCAGGATCATGACCTGAGCCGAAGGCAGTCGCTTAACCAACTGAGCCACCCAGGCGCCCGAGGATGATTACTTTTTGAGCACACATTTATGCCTGTAACACTACAAAGGGCAAGGTCTCATAGATAAAACCTGGGTTAAAAGTGGAGTAATGAAAGAATATCGAGTAACAGGTGTCAAGGCGATTCAGGGTCCAGAGTGCAAGGCTTGCTGGCCCCCACTGGGAGGACAGACACCTCAACTGGGAGGTGGATGGGGAGACTGTGTGCAGGCCAGGTCCCAAGGATCATGATGCTTTTAATGTTACCCAATGTTTTGTTTCTCTGTGAAAACCAGAGACAAACTCACCTCAAAAGTAATATATATATATATATATATCTTCATAACAACAACGAAACATAAGGAATTGGCTCACTCCCCTGAGTCTTCTGAAACATGAGAAAATGTTTTAAAATGTCATTATCAGCATCCTAAAAAAACCCAGCATTTGTGTGTCTTTGTGTCTTCAGAATTCGCTGCATTTTTCTACAAGAGTTCTTGTCTTTATTCCTCTGTTGGTATACTGGTCATGGCCTGGACTTAGTGGTGAGCCCCCTCTGCCCTCTACCCCTTCCTCGGCAGGAGGCTTTCCTAAGAAACACAGGTAATGGCAGAGCTCAGGATATCCTGACCTTCAGCACATTGAATGCTAGTTTTGGTGAGAAGGAAATGAATGCATCAGTTCCTAGTTCTCTTCTCTGCCTCCCTGGCCTCTGTTGTAGAGATGGAGAAAAGAGTCTCCCTGAGCCCCCTTTACAGCTCCTCTGAGACGCAGGGTTAACTGTTGACCAGAAAGCAGCAAGACCAACATCCAGGCTAAGAACCTTGAGGCTGAGAGCCCCTGGGAGACAGGGACCCCGACACCTGCTCTGCCCCTCGCCTCCACACTGATGAAGCCCGGAGAAGGGAACTGATCTTCCAGGACCCTAAATAAAAATCTTTCACTTGTCTTTGGAGCAGTACAACGTTTTCTACTCTCGTGACTTTTCCCTTAACCTTTATAATTAGTTTCTCTAATTCCTACCTAACTTTGTACATATTGCTAGCTATTCGACATACATACCTTTGAGTTGCCAATGCTGGAAATACAGTGTTTCCACCTGTGATCTCTGTGGTTTTCAGTAAGAATTTACAACTGGGTGGACATTACATAACACAAAAAGGTTGTTTTTTAATATAACGAAGCAACACAAAATGTTAGAGCAATATTTGTATGTATATGTGTGCACAAGTGTGTGTTCTAGGTGATGGCAAACAACCAAATGAAACTCTGCAACTGGACAAGGTAGCTTCCCGGGAGAAAACTCAAAATGTGGTATAAATTTTTGGGGACCAAATCAGACCTTCAGCTTCGTCAAGACCAAATCAGCTCACATAATTATCTACAACTGAATGTAAATATATACTTTTGGATGTTCCCTATTCATGCATGTGAATTTCTTTACCATATAGGTTCAAATTCAGTGTATATTGTGAGTCAAGGTTGTGAAGTTTTCATAAGAATACTCTACTTCAGGGGCGCCTGGGTGGCTCAGTCGTTAAGCGTCTGCCTTCGGCTCAGGTCATGATCCCAGGGTCCTGGGATCGAGGCCCG